GAGATGTGAAAGACTAATGCAGTTGGCTAAGCTCAAAAATGATCACCTTTTGATACTTCCGAGTATTAGAAGTTTTGGGATTTTTTAATAGATGAATATTACTAAAAACCACTTAGCCTCACATCTCATCCTAAGCGAGCAGGTCAAAACTCTATAAATTGCGTTTTACATAGAAATATAAAGTTTACCAACCTGAGCTGCCCACATCTCGAGCTCTTGAATGGCCTCCCTAATTGTAACCTCTCCTTGAGCTCTGGCGTTGAGAGCCTTCAGTTGCTCAACATTGGCGACCACATTAGGAGCTACCGTAATCAAGTCACCGAACGTGAGTTTTTCCAAGATAGTCCCTCTGAAATATGGTAACAAATTTTGTTTTCGTTCATGTAAATCCATTTTTGAATGCAAAACTCTTTTCTAGTTTTGAATTGAATAGACAGACACATTTTTAATACTCCACTATAGTAAGCTTGTCACATCTGTTGTGCATGAGAAACTGGATTCCTTCTCAGGCTTGACCTTAAGTTTCTGAATTACGAGCCTTTTTACTCGAAATAAACAACGGAAATTTACATACTGGAATTATGTGGGCTAAAAGCCATCTACACTTATCCTGAACAACCTCATAAATCGACTATCTAAATACCCTTGTCACTAAACGATGTGATAGAATTTACAATCACATATTCTTTTTTCCTTCGATCCTTCCTTATTATATTTTCTAGCACAATTAACACAAATCCCAGGTGACATTTGATATGCGCCCATTGTTTATTAATCGAAAGATTTAAGACATCAGTGAAACTGGGAACGCCGGCAAGAAGTGGACTAAGTTTGTGAAAATTTGATATTTTAGAAAGTAGTGAGGACAAAAGATTTCCCATTAAATGGTGGAGAAATAAAGAAAACGTGATATCTCTGATAAAGATCTTTCCCTTTTCCACAAGCACTTTCAAGGACTTTTATGAGCTCATAGGTTAGCAAATGATCAACTAGCTCATATTCTCTCTTTTTCGTCAGATTTCTGGCTAGACTTACGCAACTTGATTCGATTAGCTATAATCTCGAAAACCCTTGATTTTTTGTTAATATGCATTCTCTCAATAGTTTTCCCAGCGTCTTCCCCAACAGCGAGATGCGTCGAAAAAAAGGAAGAACTATGTACGCTTGAAAGTCCTGCTATTTAATTTCTATTCCTTATAAAAGTCTCACAGTCAGGTTGAGCTTATCTCGCCTTCGTTAAAACTTAGTGTTCAACTCATATGCACTTTCGGATGTTTGTCTCAAAATTTTATAAAATATTACTTGAGATGTTTTTTGTTCCCAAAAAATGCGCCATATTCAGAATTTGTTTTTTGGAGAACGAACCTTGGCAGTTGAAGCA